TCCTCTAAGCTGCCTTTAAGCTATGGCAATTTTCTGTTCAGGAAGGCACTGTCATTTTAGAGATGCACTCTGCTTGGGGTGACCCAAGTGCTCTCCAGGATCCTCAGCAGCCTTCAGACTTCAAACAACATGTGGTGGCATGTGAGCATAAATTTAACATTAGCTTTGACCCACTCTGCAAATGAGCACACGTGAACGGAGCCACCCATCGGCTAGAGGAACCGCTGCACACATTACCGGATACCGAGGGTGTTTCATGGTGCATCTTGCACCGCGTGGGCCACCCGAAAGGCTGCGTGCTGCAGAAACCACGCAAGATTTTCTGTCCTTCTTTCCTAATGAGGTTGAGGGCCGTTTTGAAACACCAAGCAACTCAGCGGGATGGTGGCAATCTCTGCCAGGTATGCAGCAAGGGGAAATGTTGCCACAATTGTAGCAAATTTCTCAAGATAGCTTTGCGGCGTGTCCCCCCCCCCCCCCCCAATGTCTGATTTAGCTCAGTCATTCACTTCTGGTGAACCTATTTTTCTTTTAGCACAATGGGACTTACAAACACTTCCCTCTCCCCCTCCCAGTATCCTACTACCTGTGCCCACGAGGAAAATACGGTTCAGCGGGTGGTTTCTGCATGTCTGGCAGGTGATGGCACACCAAGCGGACACCTGTGCAGTTCAATTCCCACAGGCCTGGGATGGTGGCAGCCCCGCTCTGCTGCCCTTGCTAACTGCAGGAACCATTCCACCACTGGCCCCAAAGGGTGCTGGAGTTTCTCAGACTCTTGGCTATTCCTGAACTTGCGAAAACATAATTTTGGAGACATAGAAATACGAATCCGTCACTAAACAATCTAAAGCATGGACAAGGGACAGAGGCATTATTTCTAATGAAACTGAAAAAGAAACATTCTTGTCTTTTAATATGGCTTCTGCTCTATTCTTTCAAGAGATAATTGCTGCTCAAGCATGCGTGTGTGCGTGAGAGAGAGAGAGAGAGAGAGAGAGAGAGAGAGAGAGAGAGAATAATTATGGCTACTGATGCTCTTATTTCTATCCCACTTTCCATGGGCAAATCCCTACTCACACATACCTCTTGTAAGGAAAGAACAAGTATGTGAAGTGAACCGAGTTTTAGAAAAACACTTGTGCACATCAATTCAAAATTTGCAGGTGCAGATAATGAAAAAATGATTTTGCAAATAATTCAGCTTTGGATTTTATTGTTACAGTTTGTGGATTTGTTATTTTCTCAATCAAACCCAATCATAATTCTACAGTGGAATTTGCTGTGTGGATCACCTTGCCTTACTGAATGAGCATAACTTAATAATGTGAAATATAAGGGATTAATTAATATGAAAGTGATTCAACTAAAACTTTGGCTTTACTAGGGGCTGAATAAATCAAACCTAATGAGCCAAATGTTCAAATTTTATTCGGGCACTGGTAACACCTAATTTGTTTCAGCCCTGCCGTTTACTAGTGGCGTTCACTGCCAACAGAGTCTGGAAATTCACATCGGCATTCAGTCTGGCCATTAGACACACAATAATAATCTTTAGCTCCAGCAATAAAGGCCTACATGTTCTGCCTATTTCTACACATCCACACAGATGTCACCCATTTATTTAAAATTGGTACCATCATATGTATATAATTAATGCATGCACAAACATATATGTAGCATCCATTGAAAATGCATGCTGATTTATTTAGTCTCACACCTGTTACTTATCTACACACAGAAGAATTCCCACCAGCCAAACCACAGCTTCTCATTTCTTAAATCCATTCTGAATCCCACTGTACTGCCAAATCATACACAGTTGCTAATAAATGTATGTAAATACTGTGGCTGCATCTCTCCTCTTCCAAACAGATCCGATAAAAGAGTATATTATACAAACATGTACACACATCCATTCAGAGGCACACCAAGAGTGCCAATCAGTTAACAAGGGCTACTGAAGGAGAGGCTGATTGTGTTTTTATTAGTGCTTTTCATCTTGAGGTTCAGAGAAGGAGCTGCTTGAACACTTAATGGGCCTGTGGGAGATAAAGGGTCACTAGAGATTGTGTCAGAACACCCTTCTGTGTGTTGCATCTATGAACTTATATACAAATGTTTAAAATGCACAAATATAGCCCAGTTATGACAAGGCATATGATGAGGGATCACTGCTAAGGTTGAGGCAAAATGTTAATTTGCGGTTTCACTTTTGGCTGCTTTTTCTTTAAAATTAATGACATTCACTCATGGTCACTGTGTTAGGGTACTGACAGAGATAGGATATTAAATGGAATATCCTTCTCAGTAAATAAAATACTGACTGTTTCTAAGGAATCCACAGAACAAAATGGATGTTTGAAAGGGCAGGATCAGTCTTACCCTACTCCAGAGGCAGTCAGATGAGAGCTACTGTTGGCAGATTTGGGGCTCCATTAAAAGGTGCCAAATGGCCAAACTATCTATTACTGGGGCACAGGTGGAAGGGCTCCACTTGCATTTAGTGCCTCAGGGGCCAGAATGTCTTGGGCTGGCCCTGAAATGCAGCCATCCTGCTGTCCACATCCAGCTCTTCCCAATCAAGATACAAGATAGTGACATACTGATTGCAACTGTAAACTTGGGACCATCTCCTGCCTGCTGGTAGGCCTTCATTTTATGGATTAGGTAATTTAAAATACAAGATTTTCACCTGGTGGAGGTTTGTTTATAGGCCCCACTCCCTGGAAAGCAGAGTTCTCAGGCAGTCGCTCACAACAAAATGTGGTTTGTTACATCCTATATAATGTTAGAAGTGGGCTCTGCCCAGGGCAAGGTTAAAGACAACATCCAAGCCTAGAGTTACTTTGAAATCCCCCGAAAGAACCTTGAGCTACAGAAAAACATGGCAGAGAACCCACGCTCAGACACATGCACCGAGGCCTCCCAGGAGCCAACCCCAGAACAAAGTGGGGACAAGAAAAACACTCATGCCGCAAACTGCAGGCTTCGGAAGAGTCTGTGCACAGGCCATCTGCACGCGTAACTCTATTGCCCCTCATATTTCGTTTGCGTTGAAATGCTGTTTTAAATTAATATGCATTTCAGATGCAGAATAATGACTGCTGCCAAACATGAGAGGATCTATGTCAGCCAAACCTCCAAACAAAACAAAACACCACCCCAAACAAGTCACCCACTCACCCCAAATATATATAGTCTCTCCAATACCTGAAAATCTGAATCTAAAGTGCAGGAGGCTGGGAAAAAGCAAAGCGGGAGGGGAGGCCAAATAAAATCGAAGGGGCTTGAGAAAGGCTAGGGAAATGAAGCTGCTTGGTGAAACCGCTCCTTCCCCTAAATTCCTCTGTGCTGGTGCTGTGGGCTCTAGCCACTCATTTAATGAACTTGCTCACAATATTCCCTTGCCCAGTCTAGGGGAAATGCAATAAACACTAGGCTAAACGTGTCCATGCAGCTTTGCTGAAGAGTTAGCTGACTGAAGTGCTACGCAGTGCGACCAAAAGCAGGAACCCAAAGGGATTCCTCCAAGAGAACACCCTCCCTGTTTTAATCATCTTAGCCCAGACTGCCTTCTAGTTCCAAACAAGAGAGATTCCCACAGTGCTTCTCTCAAGTATTCATAAATCCCTCATGCAACTGATTGGAACCGAAGGATATTTTCTGAATGAGTCTTCCTTTCCGCAGGGAGTCCCAACCACAAGGAGGAAGATACCAGAATTTATAGGAAGACCCCATCCAAAACCTCTGTCTTTCTCTAGGACAGGTAATTCTGGGTTTCCACTCAACGCATGCTCAGCTCAGAGGACACCATCTTTCAGAGAATTCTTCTTTTCTAGACTGTGCTGGAAAGAAGAAGCACCTATCTTACTCTGCAAAACTTGAAGAAGTCCTGGGTCTGAGCTGGCTTGTCTCTGCAGCTTTGAAGCCTTCCATTTAAAGATTTTAAAGGATTACAGCAAATAGCAATTGCATTCTTTCTTTTGCTTAAAATCTTAGGACAAGCCCCCACCCCAGCCCCCAAAAAGCTTGTTGGCCATGTAGATCACTGAGTGCTAGTGGTTGGGATGCCACATTTTAATTTTTATTTTTAAAGAACTCTTGCATGCACAAATGGAAAGCTTAGCACAGCTGGGAGATGGGGCTTTCCGATGCTGCAAGGAGGTTTTTGAAGCAGTGGCTTCCTTTCCTCTGGAGATCCTGGGGAAGGAAGCATGTGCAGCTCCAGGACCAGAGTGATGAAGTGCACGGAAGTGCAGTGGCACTGCTGGTGGCGAGGGTGCGGGCATGGCACTCACGCCCCCTCCCCCCACCGGAGAAGTTAAGGAACTAGACTCACATTGCAGTGAGATTCTTCAGCTGAGGGAGACACGCCTGGGATTCAGCTGGCAATACCAAAGCTGGCTGGAAACAGGGTTGCAGCACTTTGGAGGGCCAAGTTGAGACAGACAGAGCTATATTTTAAATGACTTCACACATATACATATAGAAAAGTCACATCCGAGCACCCTGGAGGCAAAAAACTGACTGCAACAGAAAAGCAACTAGAACAGAAGGAAAAGGAAAAAAAAAAAAACCACACACACACATCATTTGATGACACAGATTGTGTTCCGAACAAAGATCCCTACAAAGAGATTTTGCTGGTGCCGTAAACATACACACTCTCCATAGACAACACATTCACCCCCTTTTCTAGAAATGCTTTTCTCAAAGTTGCATATATCTGTAGCCACATTAGCAACGTGAAAGCCCAGGAAAGTGTCCTCTCCTTGATCTCAAGCTCACAGCCGATGCCACAATGGCATGTCAGCTCCTCTGCAGCCAGACGGCACACAGGTGCTACCCGGGAACCGTTCGCAACTCATGTGACAACTCACAAAGCCGGACGTGCCCTTCGGGGGAACAGGGAAAGAAGGGGTGGCAAAAGCCCTGACCTTTAGCTCCAGGGAATTCCAACCACGTGGGAAGCAGGAGGCACGAAGCGGAGGACTTACCTGCTGGAGGTAGAGGAAGGCCGGGGGGCAGGGCAGGGAGTGCGGGAGCAAGGCTGAGTTGGAGACCAGGAGGCAGCCCGAGTTCGCCATCGAGCAGAGCATGTGTGGCCGGCAAGCCCAGAAGCGGCTGTGCTGGCAGCTCCCTCTGCTCCCAGACCCTCTGCTTCTTCCCTTCACAGTACTTGCTTTTTCTCCGTGTGCCCCCCCCCCCCGCTTCTTTTGGCAGCTCCCCCGTGCGGAGCTATTTAAGAAGGCTCCATCGGAGGAGCTGCATGCTGTGCCCTCAGCTCAAACGGAGAAGGAGCAGCGTGCAGGCTGAGAGTCACTTGGTGCCATTAGACGAAGCTGCTGAATGAATGCATGGTCTGCAAAGGGAGCGTGTGTGTGTATGCGCGCGTGGGGGGGGGGAGCAGCGGAGGGGGGAGCAAGGGCTGAGAGGCGGGGGAGTCCCCTGTGCATTCAGACATCAAACAGCTCGCTGCGAAACCAAGAAAATCCGGAACAGCTGAGCCTGCACTTAACCCCTCACCTACTGCGGCTCTGCCTCTTGCCCTGTGATAAATAGGCCACCAAGCAAGCTTCGACACTCAACTGGGGTACCGAGCCCGGTCGCCTGCTGCCTAATCTTGTGTCAGCCCAGGGAAACAAGACGGAGGTCTTGGCAGTAGCTCCAGCAACATAATGCAGAGACCCACAGTGAAGGAATTTGGACCCTCCTCCTAATGTTTCTCTCCACCTTCACCCCACCCCAAATCCCCGAGGGCTGGAAGCACCCCTAGGATGCAGCAGGCCTATGCACAGCCTGCCTAGCATAAAATGCTGGGTCTCAGCCCACACAGTTGGTCCAGTCTCTCCCCCTCTCCATCCTCCTCGCACTCGCGCACGCGCGCGCACACACACGCACACACCAGTGTCCCAATTTTATGGATATCTTGTTTAGACACACTGATTGACACAGGAACTTGAATGGCCTTCATACACTCAGAAAAAACTGTTTATCAAGGAAAAGACAGCCAGACAAGGAGACCTGGATTCTCACACGCAGATGCCTGCATCAAAGGCCTTACATACTCTGTGGTCAGACACGGACTTGCACACCTACAAGCACGCATTATTATTGCATGCCAGCCCCAAGCAGATGGAAGCCAGCTGACCTCTCCTGAAACAGGAGCAGAATTTGGCAAGTGATGCATTTGCTAGATTATTCCCGAGTACTGGGTAGCATGACCCATAGGAGAGTAAATGGATCCCAGCTCATTGCACGGAGATAGTTCCCAGCAGATTTTGCAGGAGCAGGAAGGTATTTCCTTCTGCCTTCCCCCTACTAGGCCTGGGCTACCTGGGAACATTCTTGTCCAATGTCAGGGTCTTTTGCAGCTGCCAGAAGCTGCCAAGCCTGAGCATGTTTTCAACTTTTCACCACAGGCTGCTATTTTGGTAGGTCAGATTGTAGCAATCACATCACATAACTCCTCATCATTCAGTATGTGTGTAATCAGGCTTCAGGAGCACCAGTATCTCTGCCCCATACTCTGGTTCTATAAACTGTGGATGAATGTTGAAATGTTTTTGCCATACTTCCTGTTAGCTTTCTGGGTGAGATGGGAGCTGGTGGGGGTGGCTGGGGGCAATGGCAGCAGCCCTGCAAACATACTGTGCAACATACAACACATGCTCCTCTTGTCTTCGTAAGGTCTTGAAGTAGGATGGCCAGCAGAAATGGCTAGAAGCTGCAGAGTTATTTAATTATTGTTCCATTCCTTGCCCCTTTATGTGTACATGGATCATAAGACACATGGAAAAGAGGAAGATGTAGGTATTTTTGTGCTGACAGATTTTGATTTGAAAAGATCTGGTCTCTGAGCAAATGCAGAGTGCCTTTCTATTCAAGGGAGCACACTTTCACGACCGCCTAGTACCTTAAGCGCAGAGCCTTTAAGCATGTGCAAAGTATCTTAACTTGAAAAAGGAACCAGAGTCTGCTGTAAAGCACCATCCTATAAAAGAGGATATTAAACCAGTTAAGGCCCACAGGACATGGCTCAGTGCTCCATGTTATGATGCTCAAAGATGAAGGAAGAGCCTTTCACATATGTTACTGCATTCCTGTCATTTGCTTCTTCCATCATTCACTACGCCACTGATGTTGCATAAATTGCACCTGTTTAAACTATTCTTTCGATACAACTCCTGTTGGACAGGAGTTGCCATTTTAGATCTGCAGGGAAGCTTTCACAGGCGCATGGCATAGCAAATAGGAGGCTCTATAGTTGGGAGATTCTCTCTCCAATGTATCTTGCACACATTTTCCCCAGGCGGTCTGTCTTCCCTGTCTGGGACATGTGGCTGGCCCCATTATGAGACCGACGGAGGCAGCAGAGTGGGACGAGCAGCAAACTGTGCTTCCTTTCCTGTGTCCACCAGAAAGGCCCTCTGCCCCCACAGACCAGTGACCTCTAGTGGGTGCCCTGGAAAGCCCTGCCAGCGACTCCGCTGCCGTAGCCTCTGTCACAGCAAGAGAGCAGCTGGCAAAGTTATCTGGAGCAGCCGCCAGTTGTCTGCTTCCATTGTGCTGTGTCCCTCTCAGCTTTGCTGCTGCTGCTGCGGCCAAAGGAAACAGCTATGGGGCCTCGCCCGGCTGGGCATTCATGACAGCTCTGCAGCTGGAAGAGCTGATGTGGCAGCAACAAAGGTAACAGGAAGGGGGTGGGATGGGAGCGGCATGAGGGGGCACGAGGTGGCAACACAAGTTCTTTGCCAGCTCAGACGGTGGGTCGGGGCTGCACGCAGGCAAAGTTTCCCTCGTTCACTCTGAACTCTCTACAGATGCATTTATATGCATGGATCGATTGATAAAATAAAGCAAAATAAAATCCTCCTTGCTACTCGACAGGATCAGCTTCTCATCCCATAGTCACATGAACATGGGGCAAGCAAAGAGTTACCTGTATTCACCTCCTAGCATTTTCTTATCGTGCCTCTACAGTTGTACCTCCTGATGGTTGGTTCAGAGAGCAATTTTGGGGAAAGTCTGCTGTGAAGTCTTTGCTACTGATCAGTGAGTCAACAGTGGCATTTGGGATAGCTGTAGCAATAAGGAGGGTCTGAGAAAGTATGCAAGAGTTTAACTGGGGGAGGGATTCCTTGGCCCAACCAGGGATATGCCTTGCCCTTTCTGAGGGCTAATAAACATAACCGGCTTACAGCCCAACTTGCTTTTGGGCAATAGGTATTGCATTTCTGTGATAAGATGCTATCCAGCCTAGTAGATCACGGATAGCCAAGTCACAGAGCTGTCACATCAGAAAATTTAGTTACACAGATTGATTTATGTGTTGGGATTTTTAATGAAACCTCTCTCAAGGGATCATAGCAAGTAACAAAATGACTCACTAAAATTCATAAAATGCCAGTGAAATATAAAATGTGGTAAGTACACAACGAAAACCTTTCCAGTGGGCTGAACCTCCGCTATAAAAGTTGGCTAGAGAAAGATGCCTTACTAGCAAGTGTTTGGGTTCAGGCATCAGGGAGTCTCCAGGGGAAGGAATCTCCACATTTCTGGAAAAGCCGATGACTCATGGTACAGATTTGTTGCATGGATGGCCATGAGGCAGCAGCCCATCTCTCAAGTGACTGTCAAGCTCATGTGATACCTGCAGACCTTGGGCAAGGTCCGGGCTTTTATGTCCATTGGATAGAGCTGGTGGCTTGCACTGAATGAAAAGACCTCCTGCTTCCTGGTGAGCCCTCCGAACCCACAGTCTAGCTTCTCTGACTGTTTCGTGCTGATGCACTGCAGGGCCAGTTTAAATGCTCCAGCCAGCTGCAAAGCCACCTGTGCTGGGCTTCACTGTGTGGTATAAACGTGAATCCTGCATTCAGTTCAGCCAGGACATGGGGTACACTGCAATTGGGCTGCCTTCCAAGGCTCAAAGGCAGAATATTCCCTGCCAGGCAGAGATGATTCTAAGTGCATTTTATTGGATGATTCTTCCTAGTGCAGCAACCATCTGAAAAATGCAGAGCATAGGATTACGGGGCTGAATTTTTCTTAGATCTGACTCTCCCCATTACACACACGCGCGTGAGTGCATGAACAGTACTGTTTCAGAGCACTGGTAGTGTTGTGTATCCCCACTTCTTTTCATTGTGCCATGGGGTATTCTGCAGGGGGTATAGGAGTGCCACTCTGTACTGAGCATTGGTGAAAATGTGCCAGGGGGTGCACCTGCAATTCATAGCCATTTGGACAAATGGGGTACAGACATTTTCAGATTTACAGTCTGGAGAAAAAACTGCTATGAGGCTTGGCACATTTTCTCAGCAAATGGGGCAGAATATCCACTTCAGTGAGGAGCAAACGAAGAGTCCTTAGTAGCTTCCATGACTGGGGAATACAGGCAAATGAGTGATTTATATGTGCTGCCACTTCAGAGCTCTTGGTGCAAAGGGAGCTATGGCACGAGCCACAGAGAGCTGAAGGCATGCCAAAGGTTGCCCGTGCTAGCAGAGATGGAGCTTGGGAAAATAGCGCTTCAGTGGAGTTGGCTAGTTAGGTCACAGATCTACAGTTACCCTTATATGCTAGGTCCTTGAAGCAAAAGGGAGACTCGTCTAAATCAAATGAGCTACTGAGTACTTTCTATTTGGCACTACTTAAGCCCTATCTTGAGTATTGTGTCTAGTCTGGGGTGCTGCGCTTCAAGAAGGATGTCGATAAGCTGGAGGGGATTTGGCGGAGGGTGACAAGGATGATCAGGGGCTGGAAACAAAGCCCTATCAGGAGATACTGCAAGAACTGAGCATACTTAGCCTAGAGAAGAGCAGACTTGGAGGGCTGTCACAGAGAGGAGGACCAGGATCTCTTCTTGATCATCCCAGAATGTAGGATATGGTAGAATGGGCTCCAGAAAGCCAGATTCTGGCTAGATATCAGGAAAAATGTCTTGACTGTTACAGAAGTACAGCAATGGAGCCTATTAGTTAGGGAGGTTGTGGGCTCTCCCACACTGCAGGCTTCTAAGAAGGAGTTGGGCGGCCATCTGTCAAGGATACTTTACTTTGGAGTCCTGCTTTGAGCAGGGGGTCTGACTCAATGG